AGGTAGTGAGTCTAAAATGATTCTGAAACTAATCGCGAGCGAAATGACTGAGTCCCGAGAAGTGGACGAAATAATCACAGCGTTGAAGAGAATGAAGAACTCAGTGGATATCGAAGAGACCTTACAATCGAGTGTAAACCTGGAGAACATCGACGAGAACATTCAGTCGTACAGAAGTGACGATCTGACCTCGGAGACTTGGTGCCCCCAAATGGAAAACAACAATCTCTCCTCGATATTTCAAGAGATATCTCCTGACAGACCAGTCCACGTGCGCCTCGCAGGCTTTGAGACCCTCTTCGAGAGTGATTTATCCAGCAATTCCAACACTGAGGCATTCGAACAACTCCTAAAACTCCTGAAGGAAGGAATCGCCGACTCTACGAAGGCCGTCTTCGAGGCGAGCCTCAAAATCCACACGAAACTCCTCGACAGCCCTCGATCCCATGATGTCTACACCAATCTCATGAACTCTTTCGAGGCAGAATATTATTCAGAGAAGTTTCAGGCGGGAATTCTTTATAGACAAATTTTATCCATTGTTTATTATTTTATTTATAAAGCCAGTAAAATAATTTTGTTTATTGTGGGTTTCAGGAGTGTTTCCCAAATTTCGGAACTGGCATAAACTTCAAAATATTTTTTCATGAGAAGCTCCTGCGAATTCTCCACGTGATCGTTAAATACCAGAAGGAGTTGCTGAAGAGCACGAGGAATGTTGACAGATCGCTGGAGGAGATGATCGATCAGTTTCTGATGTTGTTGACGTGCAACGAGAACAAGAAGAGCTTGCACTGCAAAAATCTCAGTGTCATGAATCTGGTATCGCTCCTCGAGCCCCAGGCAGATTGGAGTGCAAAGTGGATGCACAGCGTGGCGACGAGGAAGACTTTTATCGGTGCTCTATCAAAGTCCCCGGTTTTACTCCAGACGATGGGTGAAATCGTGCAGAAAGGGCTAGAGTGCCCGTTCAACGGTTCTCTGGCTTTTTCCATAAAAGATGACGCAGTGCAATCGATTTATCGCTCGGTTTACATATCAGGCGACACTGTGGAAACAATAACATACCTGCATTGCCTGAATTTGGTAGCTCAAACAATCAATTGGATTGAGCCGTCGGCGATGGTCGTCGGAGGTCAGAATCTCATGATAATAGAAATAATTTACAACAAAATTGGAATTGAATTAAATTAGCGTAAAATTGATTCTCGTTACTTCCAGATGATTTTACATTACTCCTCGTCAACTCCCTCAACTCGCTGGCGACGTCGACGACCCCGAAGACCATTTATAACGCCTCCCAAAACGCCTTGAAAATCATTCTCGATCGTCCAACCTATGCGTTCGACTCGAGTGTCGGCGATGCGGCCCTAATGCCTCTCAGGAACTTTATGACCGAGAGCAATGGAAATCTGTGGCCTCACACTCTCGATTTCATCAACTTCATGCTCGACTCTGACGATGGCCTGACATTTTTCACATCCCAATATCAATGTATCTCCCCTCGGGAAGTCTCTCCATTCACGCCAGCCTCGGACTTCCTGGATTATACATCCAATCTCCTACGACAACCCATAGCCCTCATGAACGTCGATCACGTCGTCCAGGTACTGGCACTCGTGGGAAAACTCTTCTCCGTTCTGGAGAATTTCAATATCATTCAAGAGCCATTGAGGAACACACTGTACCCCTCGATGGAGTATTTCTACAATAAAATCCAGAAATATTCAATAAGACACGAGAATAGCTGTCAACTTCTGGACAGGTATGTTATTTTATTGAAGAATTCTTTGGATTTTCTCAAAAATCCAATTTTAGTGCTATACAGGAAACTTTACTGAAAATCGTTGCGTGGCCTCTGGGACTACAATTACTCATGAAATATCAGTTAACTTTCGAGGAACTCATCCGGGGCTGCATAAACCCATTCCGACACTCCTGGAGCTCCAACGAAATCATTTCCTTCATCTCCTCAGTGAGTCATTTCAATGCAGGATCCAAACTCATGGCTGATCTGGTCCCCCACACGGTATCAATGCTGCTGGACGAGATAAACGATAATATCGATAAAGAGGAGAATCTCGCTGACCTTCGCGATTGCGAACACATTCAGAAATTCATTCACGTCCTCTCCTTGTTTTCACTGAATACCAAATGTGGGTATCCCCCTATTTCTGCCAATTATTATAAAAAATTGAAAAAGTGCGTTGGATTCCAATCTTTTTTTCCAACAGTTTTTTGTCCTCACTGTGATAATTTGGATCTTCAGGTTTCTTCATCTTCATGATGGAGGAAGACTCTACTGAAGATACTGCTGGCTATCCCCGGAATCTCGGTCAACTGTTCAAACACTCCATAACAATTGACTCTCCCTTTCATTATATCAGCCTCTTGTCATTAGAAACAGTCATCTGGAATCTTGATGTTTTAATTTACTTGATGACTCGTTACGATCTCCAGGTATTAAAGCTCAAATTATAACAGCCTTGCCAATAATTTTATTCATTAATTTCTCCATTTCTAATTGCTTTCGCTGGAATAAATGCAGTTGAAGCTCCTGGAACTCCAAGAGTCTTGTGTCATGGAAGTGACTAAAAAAAAGGAGAAGCCAGAGGAGGAATTCAGTGACGGAGAGAATTGCGTCGAGGGAAATGGAATTGAGGAGACGCATGAGGTTCACCTGATTGATGAGAGCAGCCTTCTCCGTCATAGTATTTTATCGAAATCCTACTACATCCGACATAAACTGGAAAAATTGACGAGTGATGAGAACCCACAGGAATCTAGATTGTACTCTGCATTCCCTCCTCCGACTCCTGAGAACAAGGGCTCATTTTCATTTTCTGGTGCTTCTTCGGAACTTGAGGAATTCCTGGACGGTTGCAAGTCAGAGACGGGTCTCAGAGACAGTGGTTGGGTTGTCCAAATCAGGAATGCTTACGGGAATTCTCAGGGCCCAATGAAGGTGTGAAAATAATAATATAAAATATCTGACATCGTAATTGATTTAAAGTGTCTCTTTATTATTTTATGATAATTTACGCAGCATTCCACGTACATGACTCTCCTGGAGCAAATGGAGCGGGCAATCGCCGCCGTTGAATGGGTGGACGTGTACAAATGGAATTCCGAATCAATTCCAAGTTACGAGTGGCTGCCAGAAGAAGATGTTGGTCTGGATTTGGTCATCAGACTGGCTGAAGACCACTGGGAGGCCTCCGACAACAAACAGAACGTCAAAGATGACTTGAAGAAAGTTTTTGAGTCAGTTCACACATTCATTCAGTACCCGAGAGCCGGGTATTTTGAAGGGTTCGACTGGTTCCTTGGAACAGTTTTCGTCATCTGCGGTGGAAATTTGGACAGGTGCGGGCGTCTCAGCAAGCCGCGAATCTATTTGAATATAATTCAGAGGAAAGAGATACCAAATCGACACTCTTTTCTCCGAATCTATCCAGACTCTAGCTGACTTTAATCATCATCGACAAGTCTCAGATTGAAAACTTAATCTTCATTTCGGTTTTATAAACCAGATCATGCTTCTATTTCTCATCACGGACTTATCGATTTTCGTGGGTTGCAGGTGTAAAACTTTTGTGAAGAACATCGTACGATTTCCATCCGGAATTTACATGTGGAATTTTCTGGGGATTTCTCACGATGCGAGCAATCGAGGCCTTACACCGCAGTTTTTATTGGCTCAGGGAATTGATTCGATTGTGACGCAAGAATTTCCGGTTTTAAATTATGCTATGACGGTATGTTTTGGCTAATAGAGGACTTACTATTTTAAAGATGTAAAATGTGAAATGCGAATTATATTATACAGAATGAATTCGGAGTAAAATGGTGGATGATCTGCAATCGGTTTCTGTTGCAATGCTTCTGGGGAGTTCTCGAATGGTCTGAAATCATGCACTTTATGGCGATATGCGTACTGTACTCCCCAGATTACATAATTTATTATTGCGTCTCCCTGTTGCAACACTGCGAAGAGAAAATAATGCAGGACATCGTCGACAAAAAATATTGGCCCGAAAACATCGTACGTATGAATTTACCTCACATTAAAAATCAAAATATTAACATTAACAATTCCTGTTGGTCTAGGATTTAAGCAGTTACCAGTGCCACAATTACCTCGTCTACATGGACCGATTAGAGAAGAAGTATCAGAATCAAATACTCCCATCCTTGACCTTGAACAAATCCACAGAGATGCAGCAATGAGGGATCTTTCGTTCAATTTTTCAACTTTTTTTCTTTAATTCAAAATATTAAATGCCTAGTTGATTTGTACGAGTTCTGAAACTCTTTTATACATTTTTATTTGAATTGGCGAGTGATACGCGACAATTACTCTTCGTGAATGGCGAACAGCTTGGCTATTTCATTTAAGTCCTCATATTGTGTTCCTCTCGCCAAAACCTTCAACACGAATGTATGATGAATTCACAAAAAAAATCTTGTATCTAAGTGGAGAATAAATAAATAATTGGGAAGACTCACTTGACGAGCCAGTGACATGCGATTGAAGATGTTCCACAGGACAATTCCAACGACCGTATCATTTCGCAGGTAGAAAATTACTCCCTTTCCATAGTCCTGCCCTGATTCCGTGGGGTGATGGATCTCTCCCTCTGCTTTCAATTGATCTTTGCTGGATGGAGCTCCTGTCTTGGCAGTACTGTCCCTGTCCTCAGCCTTAGCGAAGACTCCAACTGTCGGGAGAGTGGAATCGACGATCCCAATGGCCTCGTAACCAACGTCGGGTCCCAGGTCTGACCAAAACATGGATTGGTGTAGATAGGGCTTGCCAGCTCCTGTCATATTTTCACCAGCCAGTCTTCCAGAGATGACTGCATGATCGTGATGCTCAACTCGTCTTCGACCCAATTTAACATCATAAAAACAAGCTGCATCTCCAGCTACCCACAAATTGCTTCGTGCTTCTAGCTCGGCATTCACCAGGAATCCCCCGATATCTGGGTCCACCTCGAGATTCGATGGCTCAGCCAGTTCAGTATTGGCTTTCACTCCAAGAGCCACTACCACCTGATCAGCGTCGATCTGCAGGCAAATATATTTTTTTATTGTTAGTATTTTTATGCCTTTGTGCCATAGATCAGCCCCCATCGGAGGAAGTTATTTTTGTTCTATTATTACAGTTAAGTATTAAATTTGATAGCACAATTACCCTTTTGCCATTATTCAATATCAAATTGAGTTGTCCCTTATTAACTTCATAATTTTCAATCTCAGCGTTAGGAATACACGTGACACCCTCTAGAGCAGACTTCTTCGTGGTCCACTCGCTCAAATATTCCGGTAAAACCTGCGACATTATAAACTTCTCCTTATAAACCTGATACACACGTCTCTGCGTATTTTGAAGATTTCGTGAGAGAGAGCAGGCGAGTTCTGATCCCAGAAAACCCCCTCCAACAATAACAATATTCTTGATTTTGGGATCAGCGAGCCTCTCCTCGAGCTCTAGAAAATCATCCTTCGTCCTGAACGGAATGACTTTAGATTTAACTGATTGATCAGCATTTTCAAATATCGATAGATTTTTTGGCGATGTACCGGTGGCAATGAGACACTTGTCGTATTTTATTTCATAGCCATCTTCGAGGATTGCTATTCTATTGAAGGGGTCAATAGTTTTTACTGTCCAGCCTGTTGCTACGGCAACACCACCCTTGTCAGATTTCATGAGGTTATCGACGCTTGAGTAGAACTCTGGAGGTTCGTAGAATAAACTGAAAAATCAAGTCTTACTATATTTTTTCAATAAAAAAAATCCTTCAATATTTTGAATTCAATAGTTTTCGACACAAGACGTCCAAATTAATGAATTAAATTTACCTTCTCTCTGTTCCATTCCATTGCTTAAAAGTCAACTGCTTTGTCACCTCTCTGTCTTTATTGTACCAGAGCTCTTTGGACAACGGTGGTCTCATGTACGGCTGATCTGGCTCATTGGATATCACAAGTACCTGTTGATGCCATTCATTGAGGCTTCTGACCGGATTGTTCGATCGTTTTCATCATTTCGGGGTTTCTACGTACCTTAGCCTTAGGGTCCTTAGATTTTATCGAGCGAAATGCGGAAAATGCAGCAGTTCCCCCTCCGATTAATAAATAGGGAACATCTGCTGGGAGGGCAGCTGAACTCACTGGGTAGCGGGCTCTTGCCTTGCCCGTTTTATCGCTGTCTTTTTTCTCTGCAGAAAAAAATTAACAATTAATCAGTTAACAGTAGTATTAATCATCCACGGAACTGGCCATAAATATGATAATATGATTTTTCGTACTTTTCGAGGAATTTTTGGATGCTGAGCCCTCCTTGTCTCTCAGCGAGTCAATACGCGTGTACTGAAGAAGAAAAAAGATAATTATTTATTTTATTGCCATAAAATATTGAATGTTTCTCCATTAACGTGAGATATCCGGCCTCCGGATTTCTCTATGAGAATTCTCTTGAGATACTTTATTATCGCTTGGAAGCTACTGTCACAATGCAAGAATTACCGTGTAAATTGTAACCCCTGCGACAAGTATAACCGCAATAATCTGTTTCCAATACTTGGGAGAGTTGTTGTCATTCCCTGGGCCCCTCTCGGGTATTTTTCCACAGATTTCCTCACATTCTGGTGGACAGGAACCAGAATTCTTGGCCGAGGTATCGGTTTTACTCAATTTTGGTGGCATGCATTCCTCAGCCCTGAGAGTCGCCCCGCGTTGCTTCCCAGATTTGTCAATTTTTCCATCACTGGCATGTCTCAAACTACCAATTCCTAAAAACCCAATCATCATTATTAAAAAAAGCTCACACCAAGAAGAGGTTAACCCTTCCCTCTTCACGTGTTCCCACGTTATATTAATTAATTAAGAAAATCTCGTTAGATGTGACCTATTCTAGATATACTGAAACAATGATAGACAAATAAAGTAATGTTGAGGGATACGCACTGCCAGTGAATTCAAAAACTGCAGATTTTATGCAATTGGGGTAAGCATGTCTGGTGAAGCGCGATATTTGTCCAATTCCTCGCCCACAACTCAACATGTTGTCTTTTTTATTTTATCGTATCACTGCACGTTTTTTTTTATTTATATTGTCGTTTTTTATGACATATTTGCCATACTCACTGTTAAATTTTAGTGTACACAACTATAACCTCAATGGTGAAGATCAGTAAATCATTTCGATTCGTTATCCCAAAGAGGATTGACTGAAGTAGAGGGTCAGTTCTGGGGGTTTGAGTGACCCCAGCGGCATCGTAGCACTGCACCCCAAGAGAGGGAGGGCGCCACACGCTATGCTGGGGTGTTTTTTTTTTATTAACCAAGTTTTTATTGCAATGCGGGGGTGTCTATCAAGTCGACGGGGTGAATTTTATTTTCTGCGGTCTGAATGCTTTTTGTTTTTTAATTGTTTAACTGAAATTTAGCGGACTATAGAACGAGCGGAAGGGGGAAGCCACATCTTGTGGAATTTCAATGGAAAAAATTATTTAATATATTGAAGATATACCACTAATGAAATTATAATTTTATAATAAACGCGTTGTCCTTTCGGTAACGTGCTCGGCTAGCACGCCGACGGCTGGGGTTCGCTCCCGCCAACATTAATTTTTTTTTTTTTTATAATTCCTATTTTTTTTTTTTATCAATGGCTAATTAATGGAAATATCGTTTAAAAACTGAATATTTGCAAATCGAGAAGATATCCAGTGAAATTGAAAAATTAGCAATTTTTTAAAACGATACTTTTGCAAAATATATACTCCTAATGAAATTAAATTATTGTTATAGTGCGTTATCCTAGCGGTAACGCGCTCGGCTAGCACGCCGACGGCCAGGGTTCGATCCCGCCGTCATTCATTTTTTTTTTTAAATAATTTCAATTTTTTCTTTTGTAACTGGCTAATAAATC